ATCCATTCATCTGGAACCAGAGACACACATGCAGGTCACACCAATGCAGCTGTGTGAATGAACACAAACAAATTATTGGAAAACTGTGCAAACAGTTAAAAAAAATAAAAAAATAATAATAGTAATAATAATAATATTATTTACATACATACATACATATACAAATCATGCTTTTCCAGATAAGACACTAGGTATGGCCACCTTTTCAAGCTTAAAGTTTCAAACTGAGTCACAAAGTAATAGTGAGGATGTGAGATTTTCAGATGCAAAAGCACATGATTTGACTGATTTGTGAGCCTTACAAAAAGTGAAATGCACTTAAATTGTCCTCAAGCCATTTTTCTCATTCTACTACATCGGAGGACATTTGCCCCTTGCAAGTGTAGACAAATCTATATACCCACACACACAGTCCTGCTGGAGAACAGCAGACACTAACAGACACTCAAGTGATTAAAAACACAAGATATGAATGAATTCTGCGTGTGTGTGTGTGTGCAGTAGTGGTTTTCGGTCCTGGTGACCCACAGCACTGTACATGTCTGTCTCTCATCTGACATGCAAACAAACTGCAGCGGGTCCCCATGAGCGGGATGAAGAACCACTATATGAAACTGAATATATGAAGATGCATATGATTCCAGAGTAGATGCTGCCTATCTGATGTAAAGCTGCAGCAGCTAAAGCACAGTTATGGCACTTACAGCGCGCACGACATCAATGATGGGTGCCGGCCCGTCGGGTTTCTTGCTGTAGTTGACTCTCGTCTGCTCGCTGACCAGCGTCCACAGCTTATCCAGGTTAATGGTGGGGCAGAAGAGAGTGTTTCGCTTCAAGTGGTAATGTCTCATGCCCACCTTACCAAAATAACCTGGATGACTGTAGAAAACAAACACCAATAAACACTCCAGAACAAGAATTTAAGAAAAATTCACAAAAAGCTATTTCTAGTCAAATAGTTTTTACAGCAAACAGGGTTTCTGCAGATTTTATGAAGGTAAATTTAAGATTTTAAAACTGAGAAAAGAAAAATATGTAAGTGTCAAGTGAGCACACAATGAGTTGTATTAGCAACACTTCAATGTTTATCACTTACATAAAAAAAAAACCCATAAGGCTTGAAAACCTCTGGTGCAAACCAGTAGTTTGGAAATAACCAGATCTTTTACTGTACTTTGATCACACTGCAAAAAAAAAAAAAAAAAGACGTGATGTTCCTTAATATTTCCGACCGTACTCAATATTATGATCGTGTTTTCCCATTGAAAATAGTACGAATTTGTTTTTTTATATAATTTTTCAATTAATGCAGTATTTCAGATTAAAATAGAGACTAGGCTTTTAAAATCCAAATTTTGAAGGCAGAATAGCACCTCCTGGTGAGAGCAAAAAAATAAATAAATAAATAAACCATACTGTAATTTCATGGTGTAACCACTAGATCCCTGTGTAGGACTCTATAGAGAGGCTTGTGAATTCCCTAGCCGCTTTTATACATTTACTTTTATTAGGTTGTGGATTTAAATGTATATTAAGGCATTCTCATATTTTTTGTTGTTTTAATTGATTTGAAGTGTAGGTTTTTGCATTATTTCTTCATTCAACCCTGCAGAAAGCATTTTGTTACACAAAACATTAAAATTCTATAAAAATGTAACAAATTAACAGGAATGCTTTATCAGAGCTTAATCCTTTTGGGTCTGATCTGATTTTAACCTCTTATTTCAGTCTTCTGACTCATTTAGGCTATATGGTTACAGCCATACCAATTCATTTGAGTATGTATAATTGTGTGTGTGTGTATGAGTGTAAGTAAATGTGTGTATCTTGTTTTACACTCTTGATGTTTTAGAGTGTAACTCCATCCTTGCCGTCCACTTTTTTACTGCATTGTAGTTGAATTATTACTTTTATTTTACATAGTTGCAGTGTTAGTCACACCAGTTCATAGGTGTGTGTGCGTACAAGTGTGTGAGTTGGTGTTGATTTTGCTCTCTAGATGTTTTAGAGTTTCACCCCTTCATTGTTGTGCAATTTTTTTTCTGCATTGTGGAGGATTTGTAGATTGTACACAAATTCTGTATTTTCGATTCCCCCCCCCATTTCCCATTCATTTCCTACGGTCGGTCATTTTTGACCGAAGACCATGTGTGACTTTTTTTTACGACCACTTAGCGTTTTCGAATCATGCCCTCAATTTTTGTGTGTGTTCACATACCAAGTGCCATTAAAGTCACCAAGTTTCATACCATTCTGGTGAAGCTACGGTTTTTAAATTCAAAATGTAAAATTACTCATAAAAGTAAAATGTTCTTTTTTAAAAGCATTAACTCGCTTAATTGCGTTTAGTTTCTCATCTAAAGTAAATGTATCTTGATTTAAGAATATTTAGATATTTGTATTGGAAAACACCATAAATTAATTACAGGATTAATGCCTCGACTTTGACAGTTTCTGCTCTAAGACTTTTAAGGTCTTCTTAATATGTGGAAGGCCGAATTAATTTAATGAGTACTTGAGATCTTTTTGAGACCAGCAGAAACCCTGAAAACTAGGAAAACCGTATTCAGTCGGCCTGTAAAGCACACATTTCCTAACATTTCCAGGAAACCCACTCCTGTTTCAGATGAGGTCAAGCACTGAATCTCTATTTGTAGCACAGGCCTTAAAGTCTCTCTTTCGGCCGGATGAGCAGTATCTGAAGCTGCAGTAATAACCTACACTGCTCAGTTACACCTCCATTCCGTGCCTGGATGAAACAAGTGAACCGCACTGAAGATGTTCAGCTTTTTACTCACTATTTATCAAAGTTGATTCGGTGATGGTGCATCCCGCCAGCATTACCGCGCCCTCCAGGATGCTTCCTGTGCTTGCCTGCAGAACACAGTCAAACATGGCACAGGTTAACGTCGAGAAGAGCACACAACGCGCCGGACTCACGAGCGCTCGCGTCTCTTAACGCTAGTCTCACGTGCTTACTGACCGATGCGCCCGTGCCCGTGGCTGACGTGCCCGCGGAGCTTCCTAGTTTTAGACTTCTTGGTCGGCTGTTGAGAAAACACATTTCGTTATTTACATGCTGCGATATTTCAGCTGACTTCTGAGACACACCAGAGCTGTCGGACACTAGCAGCGCGAGCGCCGCTACAGCTTAACAATGCAGCCAAAATATCTCTACATCTCGGAACACATCCGCACAATACAGACTGATAATCATACTTAAACTGATATGGAACCCCGTCAACAATTTTCAGTGCTGTTCTGACTCTATTTAATAAAGGATTGCAAAGGATTCATGTTTTAATCACAGCCAGAGAGCTCTTCTTGTGCACCTACCATGGCAGCAGAGAACGCAAAGAGGAAGTTGTCCTGTGATCTCGCGAGATTAATGCGTGTGGATCGCGTCGAGCGGGATCGCAACGAGAGAGCGCCGCCAGCAGACTGGAGTCCGTTTTTTTTTTTCGTACTCTGCTTATTATTATTATTATTATTATTATTATACATTTTTCTCATTTAATCCAACACGTCTAACTGTGTACATACAGTACATAAATAAATAAATAAACATCTGTAGGCCTAAATCAGCATCACAGACTGTAAAAGACAGAAAGACATTTAAGAGTCAGGAGGATATTAAGATGTGCCACACACCTTCGGCAAGGCTTTTATTTAATTTTCTACGTATGTGTCACATATTTGTTGTCTAACGTTATCGTTTTCCTGTGACGCTGATATGAGACTCAGCGGGGGAAGAATATGCCTCACTGGAAAAACAAATACCACACCTTCGGCGAGGCTTTTATTTAATTTTCACATATTTGTTGTCTAACGTTATCGTTTTCCTGTGACGCTGATATGAGACTCAGCGGGGGAAGAATATGCCTCACTGGAAAAACAAATACAAAAATATGCCTCACTGGAGATATTTGTTCACAAAATGTGTAAACGTTTTAAACATGGTAATCACAACGATTGGCACCTGACATAAAGATTGAAACCTGCCCCGTTCGTCTATATAAAATTAAATAAAAATAATCACAAACGTCTGTGATTAGTCTATCTTCATCAGCGCTGAGAAAAGTCACAGTTCTCGGGTGACCAGCGCCGTTTCAGCCGCGGACTGGACAGCACTTTACACTGATGCCGCTGACACACTGTTTTCTGTTTGAACTGAAAACACTGTGAAAAGTTCAGATAAGGGAATTATAATGGAGACTGCTAAACCTCGCCCACTTCGCCATTTTGTCTGTGTTCCGTTTCTATGGCAGCACTCCGGAAATGAAGAGTCTGTTTTTGTGTGGATGCGGGAGGAACGCTCCATAGCAACAGTTGCGCCCATAACTGATACTCAAGTCAATGTCATTATTTGTAGTAAAAAATTCTCTCCGTATATTTTTGTACAGATTGTTCTTCGGGATTCATACCCTGTCATCCTGGTTTCACACCGGTGCTCATGTGTAGCTGGGACTGCTGTGTGCAACCACATTGTTGCATTGCTGTTGCAAACAGCACATTATTCTGAGCTTAATATGCAGGTTGTGCCCCCTGTCCACTCCTGCACTGAGACAGAGCAACAGTGGCACAAGCCCAGAACAGCTGTGAGTGTTGAGACGCGACTCCTGTTATTAGTTATATTAACATATAGACAATATTGGAAGCATGTTTTGTCAATGCCACATTTCTGCTTGTAATGATCAGGAACCTTATAAGGATGTAAATGTATTATTAAATGCAATTTGTTTGCCCTCATTTTGACATAGGCAGTCATAGATAATATGTTACTTTGCCTGACTAGTTAGTTTTTTGTGTTATTTCTTTTTAATTTTCTTGTCTCTTATATTTGTAAGACATAAGAAAGGAGTAGAATGCTTGCGTTTCGCCCACGTGCTCTCTCGCATCTTCTAGCGACTTTCAGCAGCTTTCAGTCCAAAATGGCGGCAGCGCCTCCGCAGCGCCATCTATAGACAGACGCTCCTGTATCACTAGAGTTTCGCCTCTCGTGCTTCACAGATGCAGATACAGGTACAGAGGTGCACGCTAGAGTCTCTCTGAAATCAGATATCATTAAAAATGTCTATTTCGACATTTCAGAAGCTCACTATAGTGTCATGCGTGGTGTTGTGCGTCGCGCTTCTGCTGCCTCAAATGCTTTTATCGCGAGGAAAGAGAGACACACCGCACACCGAAGGTACACGGGCATTGTTATTATTATTACTGCTATTATTACATACATGATTCGTTTTATTTCATTAGTACACAATCGCTTTCTATCTAGATTCAGTAAGAATAAATGTTTTCTGCATTTGAGTCTTGAAAGGCATTGCGTTGTCCTCTAGACCAGCAAATGCACCTATAACCAAAATAAAAACAAATTCAAATAACTTTTGTAGAGCATAACGGCAAAAAAAAATTAGATTTTTTTTTTTTTAATTTGTATTAATACACAGCTTTACATGAAATGTATTTTAAAATGGTTTTTACATATACAAAACATAAACAGTGCTCTATATATGTATGGAAAAGTATGTAAATAATGCGTAAGTGTAGATATGTATATGATGAGGTGAAAGGGAGCCCCGATGATCATGAACAGGAGGATTCATCAAATGTAAACACTGATGGCAGTATGTAAATGTCTCATGTAGGGCCCGCAGGTCATTTTCCTCCTTGTAGAGCATAAAAATTAGATTTTTTTTTTTTTAAATTTGTATTAATACACAGCTTTACATGAAATGTATTTTTAAATGGTTTTTACATATACAAAACATAAACAGTGCTCTATATATGTATGGAAAAGTATGTAAATAATGCGTAAGTGTAGATATGTATATGATGAGGTGAAAGGGAGCCCCGATGATCATGAACAGGAGGATTCATCAAATGTAAACACTGATGGCAGTATGTAAATGTCTCATGTAGGGCCCACAGGTCATTTTCCTCCCATGCCACACAGACCGCCTGTATCCGAGGAGCAGCGGCACTTCTCCAGAGCCCACAACCCTGAAGCCATCGCCCGGGCCAAAGGAGCCGGTACTGGCACCAGCACCGGAGGGAAGTCCAACCTCGCAGGGCAGATCATTCCCATCTACGGCTTCGGGATCTTACTGTACATCCTGTACATTCTGTTTAAGGTGAGACGGCACTGCTGGATTTCAGATGTTTCAGCCGGAGCCTCAGATTACATGTGAAGTGTTTGTTTGTGTCTGTTAAAGATCACGTCCAGAGGCAAAACAGCGGAACCTCCAAAGAGCCGATTCACTGCTGTCAGATCAGAAAACATGAAGAGGAAAATAAGTATGAGCTCATACACACAACCTGGACATCAGATTATATTTAGACACATGTACTTTTGTGATTACCTGTGTCTGTCTGTGTCGGGTAACGGATCCCGTCTCTCTCTCTCTCTCTCAGCTGATTTTGAGTTGGCTCAGCTGCAGGACAGACTGAATGAGACGAAGGACGTGATCGAGAGAATCATTTCTGCAGCCAGCGCTGGCTCAGACAGGTGTGGATATCTGTCCTGTCTGTCTGTCTGTGTGTGTGTGTGTGTGTGTGTTTGGATGTGACGTGTGTGTTCGCTTTGGTGCAGTTTGGGAGGAGCGGTGGCTGTGGATGAGGAGCAGCAGTTACTGTACCAGCTGCAGGAGATCACTCGCGTCATGCAGGAGGGCCAGTTCGTGGACACTGTCCCAGCAAACACTGACCACTCCTGCGGCCGCGAGTGGGACGGTGAGATGCGCAGATCATGTCACGTTTTGCTCGGAAATCATTTACACATCCTCTCACACATCGTCTTTATTCACGATCGGTGTGTAATGTAGCATCTTATTTTCGCAGGTCTTCCTGAGAACGGTGGGAAAGAGCTGAGTGAGCGTTTCTGTTGTGTTCATTCACCTCGCAGGAGCTCAGACGCACAGATGAGAGAGAGCGAGGATCATGAGACGAGCGCGGAGATGAGCCGTCCTGATGAAGAGTCCGTCAGTGACCATGATGGCAACAGAAACACAAAGATAGAGGACATTTCTTCGCGTGACTCCACCAGCCAATCACAGCCAGAGACAGCAACTCTAACAGGAAGTGACATCACATCCGGCCCAGTGTCAGAACACAGCATCATCAGGCGGAGAAACAAACAATAATCCACCTAAATGATAACAATGCATTGCTTTATTGAAGATTCGTTTGCTGCATGGGCGTCTTTCACCTTCTATTGAGCACTAAAGGTCTTCAACTGTCTCTCAGTGGATGGTGTTTGTTAGACACACAGGAAAGAGCAGCTGTGTCAACATATCACACATGAGCTCAGGGCCTTTACAGCTCTAAACTGATGAGTATTGATGATCAATATCCTCTCTATTGTACAGGTACCTCAGCCTGTGTTCATAATGTAAACAATATGCAAACAGAGTTCTTGTGTTCAGAAAAACTGCAGGAAGTATCTACTGACACAAAACTTCCGATTTCAATGAGAAAAATATTCATTTGTGTTCAAATTTCTGCGACCTCAAATATTATCATATACTCTGTATTTACACACTTAAAGAAAACAACCCACAATGTACAAACAACTTAATTTAACAGGTCTGCAATAAAAGTTTTTTATTTTTTTCACTTTTACATGGTTTTCACATGATCACAGAAAGCTGTCTGTAATTCCATTTAGTTTTTGTTTTGTTTATGTGCTTCTCATTTCATCACTTGTGTAGCAAACATTGTGATTCATGCTTATATTGTTTATGATTTATTCATGTTCTCTTTTCATACTTGCATGATTGCGTTAATGTTTATCATTGACTGCTGCATGTGTTAATAAAACACCACAAACTCACATCTGATGTTTATTTCTTTGGTTCTCCATCCAGTGAATTGCATCTTCGTTAGTTATTGAGATGAAGAGTTCATTCAGTGAGCTGATGATAATAAACACTGAACTCTCAGATGTGGCACATGGGATATAAAAACACGAGGGCTGATATGAAGGTCACTGGTCTGGTCTGAACTACATCAATAAACTCTTTCAAAACAAACCCATCCTGCATTGTGCCGTACTCCTGAATTGAAGAGTGGTTTGTGGTTTTCAAAACATTCATTTCCATAAAGACCTCAGGGTTTTTTCCTGGTTTACAGAGGCTCTATTCCCAACCAAAACTAGGTGTAAACAGGGAATAAAAGCGAAGAGTAGATCTGTTGTTATCATGATCTAATATGTTTGACAGACTGTGAGCTCTGGCATGATGCACATCGATGTGAACTGATCCCAAAGCTTAGTGCAGTAGAATGTTATTTCTGTCATTTATTTGTCACTAATCTCATTCTGATTACCACATGCTTCTAACCAATGAACTTAAGATCTGATAGAGACTTCAGATCAGTGGAAGGTATTATACTTTGGCAACATCATCTACTTGCTCATTTCTAGAGAGTTCATGTCTTTGCTGTCTGAAGGAGAATGTAAGAGTCTGCCAGAGCCAATGTTAGGAGTAAGGCATTGCAAGTTATGTAATCAGATTACTTTTTTCAAGTAACTTGTAAAGCATTACTTTTTAAATACTTTGAGTTACTTTGTTTTTTTCATTTATTGACTGACAGCTCTCCTGTGCCCATGTTGAGAGAATTGGGGAGTAAGTGCAGAGGAGTTGTGTGCGCTGTGTGAACATCATGTTACTGTAGATCTAGACTAAATAGCAACTTGCATTTAGATTAGATTAGATTCAACTATATTGTCATTGTGCAGAGTACAAGTACAGAGCCAGTGAAATGCAGTTAGCATCTAACCAGAAGTGCAAATAACAATATGTATATAAATAAATAAAATCTATATTATATATATGTATATGTGTGTATAAACAATACGATTTTTATGGAGTGCAAAGTTTGAGGTACAGAAGCAGAGACCAGCTCAATGTAAGTGGTTGTAAACACAAGGTGCAGCATTTGTGGTGAATGTCTTTGATGGAGGGCAGCTGAATTGGGCGGTTTTCATCACCCGCTGGAGGGCTTTCTGGTCTGAGACAGTGCAGCTGTTAGGATTACTCATCTCACTTACACAAAAACAGATTTAGTAGTCCTCAGAATGAAGAAACACAATGCAAATTCAGAATATGATTGCAATAATTAAATATGTCAAATAACACAATAACACAAATATCCTCTGGGCTGCAAACTTTTAAGTTAAACTTGGAGTGAGAATTCCCACAGCGGGTTGGGTGGGGGTTATTCTTTTATTTTTATTTATTAGTATTTTATAGGCTATATATATATATATATATATATATAATTTTTAATACAAAATATTAGGGGTGTAACAGTACACAAACTTGTTCGGTAGGCTATACCTCACGGTTTTGTATGGTTTCGGTACAGCGGGGGGAAAAACTAAATATGATTTTTTTTATTAATCATTGGTTTACTGAGCAAATTGTTCTTTCTTTAAATAAATTCAATTATAATAAAAACTGTCTTAGGGATAAAAATCTACCTCAGCTTATGCTCTAAACTATGTCCTTTACAATTTAGTTAACAACAGAGCCCAAACTTAAATTAATTTAGGCTACTATTTATTTTTAAATACAATAATCAACACTCAACTTAAAAAAAAATGTATGCAAACCTGACAATTGCACATAATGCAGTTTTTAAATTAACTTCTAAATTATAACATTTCTACTTTTTGAAAATATTCATTTACACAGTGGCTGTCATAACTTGCTTCATAACGGATTTAAGCATACATTAAATAATTAAGACATCACTAACAGGTAAAGTAAAATATGAGTATAGACTAATATTTTTCGAACTAACAAGCTGTGGACACTGATGACTTGAGTTAATGAAATGATACGTAACGTTTTGTAGATTTAAGCATACATTAAATAATTAAGACATCACTACAGGTAAAGTAAAATATGAGTATAGACTAATATTTTTAGAACTAACAAGCTGTGGACACTGATGACTTGAGTTAATGAAATGATACGTAACGTTTTGTTTACAAGCTGTTTTATTGACGTCTTTTTGCGGTTGAAACGCTGATTGAGCGATTACATGAGATGTTCATTCATGTTTATTTCATGTTAAAACTAGTAGTAAATAGGATGGGATGATCGCGCTCGTGTCAAAACGGCATTTATTGTTTGAATTTCCTGAAAAAAAGGACTTAAATTGAAATAGGAGACTTTGTTTCTTATCAAAAGTAACAATATAAAACTGGAAGTTTCCAATTCGAGTCCAACTCGTGCAGTGGTTAAAACAATGCTTCGGTACACATGCGTACCAAACTGATAGACCCGTGCCGAACCGTGTAACTAACCATTATACCCCTACAAAATATATAAAACAGTAGAGTCAGACCCAATAGGGTCTCCAATAGGCTGCTCAGACGGTTAAGGATAGATGGCATACAACAAAAACTACGGGGCATGCGCACATCAATATAGCGTAATTTTTCTCACTGTACAACAATTATTATTTTTGCATTATTGTAAGGGGTAGGTTTAGGGTTGGGGTAGGTGTAGACGTAAATAAAACAATCTAATAGGTAGAAAATTCTATTTATTGTTAGCTTCCGGTTTTTGCTGTGTACCTTCTAGCCACAAACCTCTCAGACACCTGCGCTTCCGCAAGTGACTTCACTTGCAATCTTTTATTTAATCTCTCAACATTTTACAAACGTAACCAGGTGGTGAAGACAAGAAAAAAGAAGCAATATTACAATGTCACTTGCAATCGCCACCTGCGACGTCACCTCACTAGCAATCAACACAAATCGAGCTTGTTGCCAATAGAGACGAGACAGCTGTGGGGGTGAAACGATTCAAACTAATTTAGTACCATAACATACAGGGACCTGGCTGCAAGTCACCTCTAGGAGAAAAATGCAAATAGGCTTGTTTGAGATGCGCCTCGCCTGAAATGTAGGCGAGAGTAGGGGCTGCAGTGAGGGGAGGAGTGAAATAAGCGCAGTCAAGACAGACAGTTCTGACCTCTCGAAGTGAACAGATACCAACGAGATCAAAGACAGATATCGCGTTATTCTCACTCACGTGCTGTGTTGCTTATAAACATGATATAATTTCAGTTCTGTTGCTTTTATATGAAAATAAATATGATGAACAAGACACTCAAAGTGCATGCCATTTAATTCCATACAAAATGTGTATTTATCCATTTTTTTACTTTAATACAAACATGTATTTTAGATTTTTATAGAAATATGACAACAATCACATATCTCACACAGAGATCACACTGTCATAGTGTTTGGGAACATTCATGCATAATCGCATGGAACCAGCTAAAAAATTAAAACGTTTTAGAGGAGAACGCAGCATCACGGTTGTCTGAACCAATGAGCATTAAGCTGTGTCTTCAGTCAGTCGTTTCTCATCATGCTTTTGATCAGCGCAGTCGGTGGAGAGCAACTGCACTCGACTGCTCAATCCGACACAGCCGCAAGAGTTTTTTTGCACACGTCAGCATGACATCAGAGCAAGTCGGACGTAACTCGGACACTTTTCTAACCGGCATGCATCTCGCGGTGATCACCGGTGATCGGTTCTGCGCAGATTTTGCTCATCTCAAACAAGCCTAATCCGTGACCACGGAACAGAATATGAACGCAATGCGCAAAGTCTCTCGTTAAGCCTGCCGTAGAAAACAATAAACACTTAATATGGCTTAATGTATTAAGTGCTATTAAAAGATCAAATTAGACTAATTTCTTATTTTTTAATAATTTCTTTCGAATTTGCACAATGGGCAAAGAAGGGCTTACATGATGAATGTGAAACCTGTTGAATGAAGCGTTTTCTGGCAAAGGAACAGAGAACGGACTTTATCTTCAAATAGACAATGGTAATGCCAGTCTGATTTTGAGAGTGTAATTATTAAACAATCTCACTGTTGTACAGTCTCAGTGAACCTCCATAGCGAAAGCACAAAAACACTCAGAAAGAAACAAAAACAGTTTTATTACTCTTAAACTCACAGATAGAAAATGAAGGTTTCATTGTGTAATGTATAATGTGTGAGGAGTTTAAATGTTACTTTTTTTATTTTATTTCAGCGAGCCAGAGAATCTCCAGTCAACTTGAAGTGCCACAGACAGAACTACAGAAGAACATGTTAGTGCTCCATGGGTTCATCAGGTACAGCTGGAGCCGCTTCATCTGCTGGCTGGGCCACCTGCGGTCCACAAACACCATCAACACATGATCACACACACATCCTCAAACACCTGCAGAAATCTGCAAACTAACGCCATCCTCCTCACCCTTCTTTGGGGTCTCTCCTCCAGACCCTCCAGGAACGATGCCACATCATCGTCGTCATAGATGGTGAACTCCATTTCCTTTCCCACAATCCCAATGGACACGTTCTAGAGGAAACCAGCATTTAGAGGTCGCAGTGGTAATGAGCACGAGCACAGCGACAGGATGAAATATCAAACCTTTGTGGTCAGATCCTGTTCAGCAGGAAGAGTCTCGCGCAGCGCACGCAGACCATGCTGCACCAGCTCATTCAGATTACCTGAACACAAGAGCACCATCGTCATCTGAACTCACGGAGAGCTTCTCTGTGTAAAAGTATGCTTAATTGTTTTGAACTTGTACTGAACAGAAATTTTACTGACTTGTTGTGTACTTCAAATCTTAAAAAGTATATATTATTTTTTTTTTAATTTAACTGCAAATAATATAGTAGGTAACACTTTATTTTAAGGTGTCCTTGTTACACGTTACATGAACTTACTATTATAATAACAATTAATTATGCATAATCACATGCAAGTAACACTAAGCCAAACCCAAATCCTAACCCTAACCA